GTTATCATTGTGTAATATTTTCATTTTATTCTATTGTTGTAAGTGGGCGCCTACCTTTCATTATTATTATTATTATTATTATTATTATTATCATTATTATATTTACAATTGCGAAATACAGTTCACTCTTTTTTTTGTATACATAAAGCCTATCGGTGTTTTATATTTATGATCACATAAATTTGTTAATCCCTTTTCCGGCATCATTATTACACGGCTCCACTCCACCCGCTGAGTAATCAGAAACGGGAAGTGGTCCGAAGAATAACCGTTATAAGGATGCCCTAATGAATTAAAATCAACGGCACCGACGACGCTTGTTTTTTCGATTTTTTCAATACGCGTCAGCGGGTAATTTGAACCGTCAGAACCCGTGAAGTTAACGTGAGAAAAACGATTCTTAAAATATTGGAATGCACCTGTAAACCATCGGATACTTCATCCGGCGCACGTATTGCCTTCGTGTCATCACGTCTCGCACTAGTTTTTTTCTTTTTTTTATCAGATAGCTCAAAAGTTTTTTTTTTTTTTTTTTTTTTTTTTTATTGAGATTTCATACGCGTGCCAAAGACAATTGTAAATCCTGGATGAGAACAAATCCGTACCCACATAATGTATACGTACACGCACGTATATATGTGTACTAACATGTATTTATAATGCTCGTGGAGATCGGAATAATCTAAATAATACTGTGACTTTGTTACGGATAATCTCTGGTCGACTTCATAAACAGTTTATGCACACATACTCACGCGGTCAAAAAGGTTGTTTTAACGTTGAAGACGCGCTCATCAATGTAATAGATACGCGGACCGAGTACGGATCGGCGCTGGTATAAAAACAAACATAATATGAAATATAAAACAAATAAATAATAAATAATAAAATAAAATAATAAATATAAATAATATGAAATATTTTTGCCTTTCGTATTCGTACGTTTCACGGCGTGAATACACGGTGTTGATTCGAATGCGATAACTGTCGTCCGGAAACGATTTTGACACATCGCATCGCATTGATTCGTGTGCGGCATATATCTGTACGCGATTAACGTTCGCAATTATTATTGTTATTTTTTTTTCAAACACAAAGTCATCACGAGTAACGGTCAAGATAGGATGACTATGGCGAACGGCACGTGATTGATGTACTAATAACGTATACACGGGCACCCGCGCGCAAGTAAAATATGCGCTGCGCTAACGTTAATAATCAGTCGCCGATTGGGAAAAAATTGCAATGAAAACCACCCGTTTTTTATGTCGTCGCGTACAATTGTCGTTTTTGCAATCGTTTGCCGTCGTTGAATCGAGTGTACCGTTGTCGATAATAAATAGCTAATACAGTGGATTCCGCTTGATGTGGACACGTTGGGACTGAACCCATCTGCCGAATTTAAACGCACTTAGTAAAAAAAACACCTATATTTTTAACGTGCGTGAAGTTAGCCCCCCGACATTGTCTGATCTACTCCGGACCAATGCTAATATTTTGTAACTCATTTGTAACTATTTGTAACACAATTTTCAGAATTTTTAACTCCTTACTTTTGGCGCAATCGACATTTTTTTGATGGGGGCCAACTTCACGTAGCCCCCCAACTTTGTCAGAACGACTCCGGACCAACGCCATTCTTTTATAACTCATTTGTATCTATTTGTAACACAATTTTCTGAGTTTGTAACTCCTTACTTTGAGCGCCATAAAAAATATTTGATTGGGGAACTTCACGTAACCCACCAGCGTCTATGAAGTTTCTCCCCTTCCATATGGTGGTCCATATAGTAGACTTAAAGAAAATTGCGATCCCTGACTCCTGGTTTTTTTGAAAATTTCATTTTTACTAACTATTTTTTAAATTTTTCATTG